TATGTGATTTGGATTATATTGCCATTTAATGTGTTTAATTTTTGAAGCCTGTTTCTTCTCTAGCTCCATTTTTTCTAATCGTTGTGCTGTATTTGTTCGCTGTCTATGACTATACTCCATGTCTACAAAAAATTTATCTATCTATATATATATATATATATATATATATGTCTCTGTGTGAGCGTATGTGTATGCATGTATAATCGTTATCCAGCTAAATAAAAATATTTACAAAACAATGCTATCATTACCCATTTGAATATCGTACGAGTCGGTTAAAACATCAAGATCTTCTTCGTCGCTATCCTCAATTCCTGGATATGTATATAATATTCCATTATTCTGCAAATCCTTAGGTATGTCGTCTCTTGCCATAACCATTTCGCACATGCCTTGACAGATATAAGAAAAATAATTCGTTAAAACTACTGTTACGCTTAAAGTAGCTTAAACAAATTTTATATAAATAATGTACCTGTATCATCGGTGGAAATAAAACTATCTCTTATATGCGAAAGAAGCCAATGAGAATTATCATAAAGGGCCATTTTTCTTGATCTATAAAGATCACGAGGCACTTTTTATCAAAATTTATATTACTTTGTCCCTAAACTTGCAGCACTGCCTCGATTATCAAATAATTGAAAATTAATGTCTGAGAAGCACATGGCGTCGTCCCACATTAGTATGTCAACAAAAATATAACCTATCAATCAGTACATCTTTCGGTACGTCAAACCCAATACATGAAAATTATTAACTAAATCACAATTCATCGTGTAAATAAGAAATAATCGTGTTGTATTTGTATCCGAGAGTGCCTCTTTAATGCCGAGCAGCTGATACCAACAACGTTATATACGATTTTTAACATTGTACATGTGTCAGTAGTATATATTTGTACACAGAAACGACTAGCCGCGCGATCATTCGGTTTTTCACAGAAACATTAACTTGGCTCCTATATTCCGTACTTCACTATATACTCCGCCTTCCACCGCCATGTACATACGCATGTGTCAAAAACAACTGCAACTCTCTGCCAAACGCTTATAACCTACTTCATCTTGGACGCACAGTCATTGTCTTTGTCAGTGCTCGTATTCCAAGTACTCGGTACTCTGAAAATTTTTCGAAATTTATAGTGCGACATCGAGGACTACAAGATGGTGAAGTTTTATTAGCTTATACTACCCACCCCTTTATATACATCGGCTTTATATTAATGATAATATTAATAATTTGTGTTTTAGTTTGGGTTTAACGTATTCCCAGAAATACCACGGCCTCTAAATACCCAATACAAATGTTTTTCCGTATCTATGATTCCTGGTAACGAGCGTCAAGACGTTGAACGAGGTGGAAAAAGTAAGGAATATGCACGTAAAGATCTACTCTCGCTATAATCAATTGCCAATCGTCATTATTTTTTTATTTTAGTTATTATGCCACCGTCGGCCCTTGACACTCTTACCAGATTAAATATTGTTTATCCAATGTTATTTAAATTGACAAATAAGAAGACTAATAGAATTACTCACTGCGGTGTACTTGAATTTGTTGCTGACGAAGGAAAAGTATACCTTCCATATTGGGTAAGATAATTAATTGTAAAATCTACCTTTAATACTCCATATTTCCATACTCGACGCTCTACTTGAAAAGCTCAGAGTTTGTATGATATTTTTTTTTTTTTGTTTCTGTTGAAAGATGATGCACAACTTACTTCTTCAAGAGGGAGAGCTTATAAATGTTGAAAGTGTCACAATACCGGTGGCGACGTACGCTCGCTTTCAACCGCAATCCGAAGATTTCTTAGATATTACCAATCCTAAAGCTGTATTAGAAAATGGATTGAGAAGCTTCGCTTGCTTAACAACCGGTGATATTATTGCAATTAAGTATAATTCGCGCGTATACGAAATGTGTGTTTTAGAGACCAAACCAGGTTCAGCTGTGAGTATCATAGAATGCGATATGAACGTTGAATTTGCACCACCAGTCGGTTATAAAGAGCCCGTGAAATATGTCAAGCCGGATGAAAGCGTAGTGGATCCGGTAGATTTAATGCCGGAGCCAACTGGATTTGTTGCATTTAAAGGGCAAGGTAATCGATTAGATGGGAAGAAAAGGAAAGAATCGGGACAAATAGATACGTTGCTGGAAAAGCCCGTTTATATAAGAGGAATACCAGATTATAATTACAATATAGGAAGTTTAAAATTCTTGCGAAGCATTAAGCCAATCAATGTGAAAGAGGTAATAAATTATTTTAACACTTTAACCTTCGCTTTCGTTTGCTGCTCGCTTAACATTCGAGCTACTCTCTTTCAGATGAAGGATCAGGATGAATTCAAGGCGTTTACGGGAGAAGGATTTTCATTACGCAAGTCAAAAAAATGATAGTCTTTACAGGAATCTTTACAGTCGATCGTTAATTTTATTATAAAAAACATACAGCTTTTACGAAACATTTAATGTAGCACGATGCATGGTATTATAATACCAAATGTGGCATTATCGGCGCATTAAATGATATAAAATTTGTTTTTCCATGTTGTAAATATAAATATATGCCTAAGTATAAAAGAATGGATAAGGATAAGTTTTTGAAGTACCCGTTGGTACTAGAAGAGCATCAATATGTCAAAGTGCACGAAAGAATCTTATTAAATAAAGGTAAATAATATATCACTGCGAATGACTAACGTTATAAAGCCATTGTATTTATTAATCAACCAATGGTCCCCAAAAATGTTTGCTGGGCCTTGAATGGTCCTGAGTTAGGAAGAAATCTCGTCCTAATTTGACAAACTCTTTCAGACTGATCTTTCCGTCTTCGTTGGTATCGATAAAAGTAAAGCTAATTACAGCATGCTGTAATTAATTAGACAATTAATTAGATTTATAATAAAATATTACATCTACGTATCATATGCCATAATACATACGTCATTATCTAATCCTAGACATTTGAAAAAGAGTTTAAATTCTTGTACTGAAATTTCCCCACTCTTGTCCTTATCGACAGCCTGTAAAAATGTATAAATTTTTTAATCCATAAATACACCAAGTGTAAATATTAATGTATGTATGCAGAAATTATAATGCAATTTTTAAACGTACTTTAAACAAATACGGTAAGAAACTGTGTACTTTTTCTCTCAATGATTTATCCTCAAGAACGTGATGCATTTCTCGAAGATACTTTTCAACATCAACGAGATTATATGGACTAATTTCACCCCACTGCTCAATCCACATTTTCTAAAAGCAATAATGTGTATATATATATATATATATATATATATTAAATAAAATTTAATATGCAATAATAACGAAATGAAATTTCACATTAATTTTTACAATCAAATAATGCCATGATAATAATCTTACACTGGTAATGGCGAAAATTTCCTCTCAATACGACAAAACTACAAGTCTTTAATTAAAATAATTAATATTTTTATGTCTAATAAATGTATTTATAGATACAAATAAGCGTGAGTTTGCAATTTTTCAAGCAATATATGTTTAAATTTTATTTATATTATTAAATACATATAAAATGTAAGTTAAAAGTGAATTTAAAGATCTAGAAATTATATTTAATTTTAACTTTCATTGGCATAAAAAGGATAAAAATAAAAGAAAAAAGAAAATTGATCGAGCCAATTATCAACATTGTAAAATAAATTTTTTGAAAGATTGCGCTATAAGGAATAAGACTTATGTGTTTAATACTTATTGAAATGATAATTGATTATAACGTTTATAATTTATAATTTTTAATAAAGATTTTTCATTATATTTTAGCTTTTATTTCGATTACACTTATAATATATATTAAGCAATCCTATAAAAATACATAGAAATAGTCTCTTTGAATAATAATTAATTTACAACTTGAATCGTTAATCGAGTATCTATTAAAATTTAATGTTTTTTTTTTTTTTTTTATTTATTTATTAGATTCACATATTTGATACTTATAATATTAATATATAATGATTTAGATTTTATTAAAAGCATAGAGAATGATAATATATTATATTTACGAGATTTCGTTTGCAAATTTTAAGTTAACTTTTCACGATGCTTATTGCTGAATTTATTATAAAAGAACGACAAAGGATATTTATTCATAACATAAAATATCTATTATGCTAATAATAAAATCACCATAAGATTAAATTTCCTACACTTAAGGTGACATGAAAATGAGTGATGAATAGTTTATGAATTATTTCATTTGTGTGTTCTCTCTTATGATTTAATTGATAAATGTACAAGTTGCACTATTTGAATGGATTAAACTACTAAAAGTGAATATAAAACTACTTTTTATCATTCATTAATTGTACATAGTTTAAACAAATATTAAAACAAAATTATAGGCATTATGTTAATTAAAACATATCCAAAAGTCTTTAGATTTATCGTTAAATTAAAAAAACATCATTTAAATTCAAAACGATATACCGATAGGCAAACGAAATATCAACAATTTTGTATTATATTAATTTGTCTATTTAATTGTAAATTCTATACTGTTCTCTATAATAATAATAATAATAATAATAATAATAATAATATATACACATTTGCCATTTATCGAGTTATATTAGTATGAAATAAAGTATTGTTAATCGATAACATTAAAAGTTTACATAAATTTTACTAATCTTTTTTATTATTGATAAAAGATTAGAGGCGGTTTAATAAATACGTTTTATTACAAATAATCGAAATAAAATTCATACAAAAATCAATAAAACTCACGCGTAAAACCTCTTGGAATTCGTCCTTCTGCTCAGTTGTAAGGTGTCCCAATTTTGCAAACCTTTTCCCCAATAGCATAAAATCATCGTAGCTAAGGACTCCATCCTTATCAACATCCAAATGACTATGCAACGTTCTCATTTTTTGTCTCCAGAAATGAGATTCCGCCTGTAGAAATTCATAAATCATAAATATTCGCGATAGTAATATAAAAAGATCATTCTTGCAGATCGGCAATTGATCTTAGCGGATTATTATCGGATTATCGGATTTATGTCAAGGATGCGGCCCATCAAATAAATATGTCACAATTGTTATTATATAACAGACGCTTCGGAACACCTGCATTATTGACAAATAAGAAAAATCGGTGACCAATGATACGATCGAGCAAAATATCTTATATTTCTTTATCTTACATTAAATTAAATATTATTGTTATTGTATCGTTGAATTTTCTTGCTATTTCAATTTTTTTTGTTTGTTTCTTTTTGTTTTTGTTTTTTTAATTAACATTTTAAGTGGAAAGTTGTACTAATGTAATTTTATTATGATGCAAGTAACGTATCTTCTAAAACGTTATTTAGTGTTCAAATTACAAAAATTCACAAAAAAAAACACTATTAAGTTATTAATTTAAATTCTATCTGCTAATAATTCTAAAAATATATATATATATATATATATATATATGATAATTTTATGTCAAATATTGGCAGCGTCGCGAAGACTATATATACGTCTTTATTTGCACACAACATCTATCGCTCTCTTGATGCTACTTTTAACAAAGATCTTGGCTTATCAAGGCAATGCAGTAATCGATAAAACATCGGTCTTCCCCGAGCAAACACAATAAACGAACAAAGTAATCGCGATCGAATGCAAGAAGGTACGCGATAAATTGCGTTGTCACAGTTGTCACCTACCCTCGAAAATTCTTTTCTAGACTCCTCGTCGTCACTGTCGCTCTCTTCGTCGCTCTTCTGGTCCTCGTCGAGAGATGCCGACCTCCTTATCTGATGAACTCTGCGCTTACCGTTGCTCATCTTGCGAATCGTGTGCTGAAATTTATAATAAAAGTGATCGATCGATCGATCAATATTATCACCAGCCGATCTCATTGTCTCTCGTCATTCGGTTTCGAACGATACGACATTTTTACAGTTTTACTCATCTCTAATCAACATTCCCACCCGTGTTATTACCAGGTGTTGTTTGTCTGCGCACACATGTCAATTTGGCGAGTGAGTAATAGTGTCGCGTTGACGCATTGCAATTACTATTCAAATGCTTAGCATTGAAAAATAATGAAACCTCGATGTTTATCATGTTCGACCGGCTTTAATGTTATTTGGAATACGTAAATGTTTGTTAAAATGCCGAGGGTGCCGTATTTAAATATGCTTCGAGGCTTTTCAACTTGCCGCTTCTTAACAGCAAGAACGCTCGTTTTCTTCGAGCATAAGACAATGCTTTCTCGACAAAATTCAAACATTCGGCCATTGTGTTTGTATTTTGCACGTGAAATTCCTTTTAATTAAAAAAAAAAAAAAAAAAAAAAAAAAAAAAAAAAAACCAACGGGGATCGTTAAAATTAAGCTATATCATACAAAAATGTTGTTATCAGTGTTAGGCTCACTTACTCATTTGCAAATGCTCTTTACAATTAATGAAATGTCTATCGCCAAAGGTGAATGACTTCTTGAGATTACTACGTTTATTTTCTTTATTATTTATTTATTTATTTATTTACTTGTTCGTTTGTTTATTTATTTTATCGACAAATCTATAACAGCATGTATTTAAAAGAAAGCAAAAATTTGTTTTATTTTTTTATGAAAAATTATAACCATTTATCGTGCGCCCTGAGATGAAAACAAAACTGACAAATTTTTAACCAAACGTCCAACAAATATTTAATATTATTCTCATCCTCTTCTCGGACTGCTATATGATAAAAAAAACAGGTCCACGAAACTATACATAATTGCTGCCACGGGGTATATAGTTCTTGCAGATGAGACAAGACGTTAAAACTTTATACAAAAATTTGTAATTCCGTATAAATTAGAGGAAATCCGTGCGCTTTATAAGCAATTATTCGAGTATTTTATTAAGCAGTGTTTACATAATTAATGAATGAATGTTAGCACATTTTAAAAGCAAAAGCTGTATCGATATTTACACTGCTTTGCTTACGTCTGATAAAATTGAAGCGTAAAAAAAAAGAAGAGAAGAAGCCAAAAACAACAAAAAACATATGCTCTCTAATATATGCTTTTTGTTTTTATTTTTATTTATTTTTCTCTCCTCTCGCGAGCATAATTATCGCCAAATCATTCCCACTCGGTAAATAGTGTAAATCGAATGTTTCCCACGAGTCAAAAATTATTTCTCTCAAAGCATACAAAAACACTTTTCTTATCTAAATGATATTAAAAAGAAGCGTTTTAAGAAAAAAGCGGACAAAGAAGAAGAAAAAAAACGCGCCCCGATAAATAAAATCGTCATCTGGAAGAAACTAGAAAAGCCAAATCTTACATAAGTACACCACTTTTATTATTCGGCTGCACTACTCCAGCGTCAATTCACCAAAATATAAAACTTATCCAACGGATTACCTAATAATCAAGCAACCGTACATAAACATTACCGGAAAAGCTAATGGCACGAGTGCCACGACATAATGGAGAAAAGCGATATTTATTTGCAGATTAGAGGAGAAACTTGATTTGATGACCAGTTCCATGCTCACATAGACCGACCACTACGTTATTTTCATTTATGCCAAAAAGAAAAAGCCTTTTCATTCTGGCTGCGCATTCTTCGTTCTTCATTCGCGCATAAATGCAGCCCACGATCTCGAGTTTATGTCGGTAAGTTACATGCCCGCGTCCTTCCGCTAAATAGACAATAGAATAAAAAAAAAAAAAAACAACAACAAGACCCCGGTGGAGTGGAGAGGAAGATCGTCTCGCTGACGAGAAGGAAAAAAGACAGGCGAAGCCCAATGGCTTTCGCGACACCGATTAGGCTACACCGAGAGACTCTCAAGCAGAGAGATCTCAGTCTCGTCCCGACATACGAAACGGCATCTAACCCCATACTCTCCCTCCCATAAGCCAATCGTTATTTTCAGCGAACCTCTTTCTTACGCTTTGCTCGCGCTCCCCGATGTCATCGCACTCCCGCCGTCAGAAGGCCACGCGCGCACACCGCGTCCCCTGTCCTTCCTGTCCATCCAAACGCCATAACAAAGAGGAAGGAGTTTATTCAAGCTCGAGTCGTCGATTTAGATGCAAGCTGTCGCGACTTTCACGACGCGTTACGAAGGATTATGGCGCGGCATGCTGACTTTTCCCCGTCGACGCGTCGGCGACCTGTGACTCCCAGCGCCAGTGTCGAATAACGCGCAACAAAGCCACACGCACGGCACGCATTAAGGCACGAGGACACGAGTCGATTCGCGAATATCGTCGAGCCTCGCGATATCACCAAGCCTGCACCCCATAAAACGCATCTTACTTCGAGCCTCTGCTGCGAGACGCTCCCATAAGGAGTTTGCTCCAGGAGTCCGGCACATAGGCTCGGCCCGACTTTCCTCTCGAGCAGGCTCCTCTGGCCCAGGAGGACCGAGCGCAAGCACATCCTCATGAGGGGGCTCGTCATCTCGAGCTTCGTCTATCTCGATAACAATTGGCCCTGATTGGCAATTCGCAACTGGCAATTGGTAGGAAGTCTGTTGTCCGGTGTCACCGAGGTCCTGCTGCACGACACTTCTCCAGCTCGATCGCGAACACGACACTGTGCGCGAGTGCTGAGCACTGGCCCCTTTTTTATTTAAAAAACAACGGCGACGCCGATGCTCGCCTCCTTCCCGCTCTACTCCCGATCACCCTTTTCTTCTCTCCTCGCACCTCCCGGTCTAACCTTGGCCAGCCAACCAACAACGTCGCCAGCGAACCTGCTGAATATCTCGGCCCGTCCGTGCCCGCTGGACGAACCCGCTACTACCATTCGCTTGCGCGCTTCGCCGTTGATAAGAATTGGATGTCAAAGACTTTTCGCCCGGCGGAGGAGGCTAGTGTTGTTTTCTCTCCCCCATCGCTCCCCCCCCCCTCCCCCCACCCCCATCGCCACCACCATCCCCCTCCCACGCCCCGCACTACGCCGCTGCGTTTAATCGCAAGATGCGAGCGACTTTTGTTTCGGCGCGTGTCGTCTCGCATGACACTTGGCCGTTACCCCCCACCGCCACCACCATCCCCCTCCCACGCCCCGCACTACGCCGCTGCGTTTAATCGCAAGATGCGAGCGACTTTTGTTTCGGCGCGTGTCGTCTCGCATGACACTTGGCCGTTACATTAATTTTCCCCTCCTGTTCTTCTTCTTCTTCTTCTTCTTCGCGCTTTATCTCTTCCCAGCGTCACGACGATGCTCCTCCAATTCGCAATAGACGCTCGAGATAATGATGGAGGAGGCGTCGCTGGAAGGACTCGGCAATAACGTGATCCCGGACACGTTCTCCGCTCACGAAGATCGCCGTACTTATTATCGGCCCGCAAAATGGCGCACCATAGATCGGGCGCATTCAAAAACCGCTCTGGCATTGGCATCATACAATTTTTTAGCGCAATTCAATGAAGAGGGGGTGGAGGAGGAGGAGGGGGGTGGCGCTCGACTCGCTAGCTCTTTCAATGCGATAATTGATGCGCGAGGCGTCGAACGTCGCTCCTCGTACGTGCGAGGCAACGCATCATCGAGCCTCCCTCCGGTTATTATTCACACGTCTTCCCACGCATCTGCTATCCAAATAATTGCAACTAGTATGTTCGCCGCGCTCGCGCCCCATCTCCCATATTGCGCAAGAGCCCGTGGAATATCAGAAGCAAGGGTATGTTGAAAGTGAAAGGTGACTGAGCCTTCGCGATTAGCCGGAACGTAACGAAAGCAACGATTTGCATGCGTAATCTCGATTTTGAATTTATCTCTGGCCTCGGGATCATCTTTATTCTTCCTTTTCAAAAAAATAATTTGAAATTTATGTATTTACACGAGTATGCATCTGGCTGCATAATAATAACTATTTATCACGCAGAGAGAGAGAGAGAGAGAGAACGATGGTAAATTGATCATCCTTTGTGAATTTAATTTATGGATTAATGGATAAATTTCGAGATTACGAATGTGCACTTGGTTGCCCATAATAATGCCAAAGACAAATTTACTTGTCGACTGAGAAGCGCTAAAATTTGTTACATCATCGAAATTTCGGACTTTTAGACTATCGTTAATACTGCTATTCCCTTATAATCTAATCAATAATATATTTCATTATATAATTACATTGTAATTAATGTAATATAATTAAGATTCTTAATCATTAATATTACGTAATATACTCGATTATGTTATATATCCTAATATATTCCATTATACTGATGTATTGAACTTGATTGATTGATTGGCGAATGGGGTTTATAATTACAAAATATTTGTCACTGCATGTAATATAAAAGCTTATGTTTAAGAATGGATGAGCAAAATCGTAAAATTGTACTATCAACATTTGAATACGAGTAATTTGACAACAAACACATAATACATACGATAAAATTTAATTACTTAAAAGCTTTTTATATTCTTATCAATTCGTGATCTTAGATTCTCAGCGCAAATTAGATAAAACTTGTACTTTTCTTTGAGTACATTATGAGCAAATTTGATTTCTCAGTAGAATATTTTTAGAGATTGTACCGATAAGATTACTGACAAATTTATTTATTAAAGAATTTGCAAAAAAGCTTCGTGTATACCTACACGTCGGCTGCTCTCAATCGTAATTTACTGCAAAATTGACACGACCTCATTTCCCTTTGTTTACTAAGTTACATATTCTATTCGATTTGTTAATCGAAGTGATATATATATATATATATATATATATATATATATGTTTTAACATATCTTAATCTATACACTATTATTATTAAAATATCTAGCTTTGTTTATTAACATTGTGTTCTTCATTATAATTGAATCATTTGCAAAACAAATACATGATAACGAATTTGCGTAAAAATCTTACCAATTTATATTTCCAGTGAAGGAGTGAAAAACCAATTTATATTTAAGTATTTTTAGACTCAAGAGCCTAGCGTAAGTATTTTTACTTGAATAAGCAGAGTAAGTGTCTGTGATTTATTCGATAATACTTATAATGATAATATTAGATAAATCTAATTTATTGGACAATTGTCCAAAAGTAACAGAAATTAAGAAATAAAAATTGAATAAAGTTCGAATTTCAGTCTGCTATATATTTCAAAATAATACATCACCCCTTGGATATATCGTTAAATGTACAAATAATACATAAATATAATCTCATGCATAAAATTAGCAATACAAATGTTTGCCCATACACACACACATACACACACACACACACCAGCGCGCCCGCGTACATATATATAATTTTCATTTTATGACATCGATTCATGTAGGATTAACAATTTTTTTTATATTCGTTATATCATATACAGTTAACATAATATAAATGCACATAAAAGTATAAATATTAAGACCATTGTACAAGTAAACATACCAATATAGATATATAGATAGAGCATTATTGTTAAACTTTTCAAAATTCTAGAACAACAAAGATTTCCTTTTTTAATCTTACAACAATGACCTTCGGACTTGGTCGACCGTTGGACTCGCCAGTTGTATAAATTACAAGTAAAGCATAAAAATTCTCGTTATTGGGAGATACTGATAATTATATACTTATGCTTCACTTTTTTGCCTATGCACTGATAAATAGTTGCCGATTTTCAAAAAAAAAAAAAAAAAAAAAAAAATAAATAAATAAATAAAATAAAATACACAAAACGACCTAAGGTTATTTATTTGACTAAAAAACTGAATTCAGTGATTTATAAATATTGAATATCAGTACACAACTATCTAATTAATTGAATGTACTCAAATAGATTATAATTACGAATAAAAGTTTAATTAAAATACTTAATCACGTATCTATAAAATATAATTACAAAAGTTTTGTGATCAATTTAATGTTTTATTTGGTTCTAAATAATTCCACACTCTTTTTAAATTAAATGGTATATCTTCTTTATCAATATTTATAATTTGTATTTAACAAAGAGGTATAAATAATGGCTTGTTGATATTAGGAAAAAAGAATAAATAAATTGCATTAAATATCATGCTAATTATACAAAATCACCTACTCTTGCGTAAATGTTGATGTATCATGATAATTACTCAATGAAATGTCATTCATGTACATCTAATTATTTTGAAATTATACGATACTAATAATATAGGAATGTAATAATTTCATTTCTGAAATAATTTAAACAGAAATAATTAACATTGTTCGAAGAAAATGTAAAGGTCATCTATTATCATTATATTCAGTTTCGTTTTCAGTCATTAAAATTTTAATTTATCAAAAATTTTATCGACACAGTATTTTTTAGATATCAACACCGAAATTCTCAGATTTTGTGAAAAATTAAAGTCTTTTCTGTAATTAATTAAATAATAAAGACACAGTCGCGTGTCTCCATTAATAACAATGTTTCTTTGGTGAAATTCTGATAAAAAAATAAGTAATAATATTGTTAAAAATATTAATACAATAAGATATAGTTTTGATTTATTTATTAATTTTTTAATGACTTGTATTGTGTATGGAATAAAACGAAATGAAATCATAAAAAAGCGTAAAGAACTATTAATATATATATATATATATATATATATATATATATATATATATATACTCCTGGATAAATGTATATAAAAAATAAATAAATAAATTTCGATAATAAAATCGTCGTTTAAACATTTATTTATTCTTCTCATTCGCCATGTAATTTTTTAGAACTATTAAATTGGTTTACTATTAAATAGTCCATACTTATGCTTAAATTCTGTCATATTGAAAGATATTTGGAGGCCACTGCCTTCCATTATTATTTTTAAACCGATAATTAAAATTTTGAATAGATTAATCTGTATAGCAACACACGTAAATACCGATGTATATTATATATATAGTTTTCGCGACTCGAGAAAATCACAAAAGAATTTATGTGTGATTTGCAAGGTGTACCTGTACTATTTATGTACTTTATGTAAGATTTACGAAACCATGTTAGTAGTTAAGATTTTATGAAAAAAAAAAAAAAAACATTAATTTGATGGTACGCAAATATTTTACATTTTTCTTGTTGTTTAAATGTATTATGCGATACACAATCTGATAACGGACGAGGATGTATCATTCAAAATTTTATTGCTATAAATGGTGTTAGTTATGGATTGAATGTAGTTCAATTAGTAGATTATAAAATAATAATGGCAGTAGAAATTTATAGCAAATTACAGACGTTTTAATTTAATTCTATAGCTTTATAAATCATTTAAAGTAGAACGAATTTATATTCATAAAGCTTAATCTTGAAAGTAATATAAATTATAATTGGTATATTAAACTTTTATGTTACTTTTTTAGGCGAAAAAACAAATGCTCATTTAAATAATTTACTTTATAGGAATTAGAACATACAGTATTTTTTAAAAAATTTAAGAAATTCAACATTCTTTATCTACGTACGTCTACATATGAATTAATTGCATATCAAATTAATCAGATTCAAATGTCAAGAGTTATATCCATTTATATTCAAACGCAACATTTATTCAAGTGTTAATGAATATATTATATATTTGAAAGTGAAAATGTTTGGTATGAACGATAACATTCTATGCTTTTTCTGCAATAACTTTAGTGTTTAATCTATAATTTTAACTTAATTTAACGTTAATTATTTAATAATATACTTATACGTAGAACTTTCTATTTAAAAGTTGCATGTGATTCAAGGTATTCTTTAAAATTCAAAATTCTGGTTTTTTTATATAACTTGTATAAAGAATAATAAAATTTGGAGTTTCGTAACAAATTAGGTTTAGAAATTATTACATTTAATTTTAATGGAACAATGAAACTGTTATTATTATCTTAGCATCGCGTAATGCCGTTTGTTTAAAGTACTATGAGCTATGTTGAATTCATTATATCAATTAAAATTATGGCTTCCCAATGATTTTGTTTGGTACTCGAAATTTTCTACTAAAACAAAAATTCTAAAGTTGTACCATAAAAAAACCTCCACAACTTCTTACTTAAAAAATATCTACCTTTTTTTTCTTTTTTTTTTTTTTTGATTTCAATACTATAATCACATTAAACTAACAATTGCCAAGTTAAATATGATTGCAAATTATGAATTCGTTTAGTAATAAAATTGACATCACGGTGTATTTCCATAAATTTCCGTATTGATAACGATTGTTATGATCATTCTGTCCTTCTCATTAAAAATGTTTTGAGAACGAAAAATTGGCCATCATTAATTTAAACGATATGCATTATAAGTAACAAAGCTATATTTGCTTAAGACTTAACTTTTATTAACATTATTTATATGTTATCTGTATTTTATTAGACGACTTTGTTAATATAAAAGAGAAAAAAGGCCAAAAAGTAGCTTGATTAATAATTATCTCCTTATCTATTGTGCAATTATATTTATAATATTTAATACATAGTGTTGATATACTTGCCGACTATGCGTTGTTTACCTTTCAATATATTATTTATTGAAAAATACATTATATATACTTTGCGTAATAGTTTAGAAATTTTATAAAAAAAAAAATGAAGACGTAAATAGCTTGTATATGTGGCTACCAATTCAAATAGATAATCTGTTTTAATTTTAAATGTTTGAATATCGTACACCGCATTTTTTTTTTTTTAATATTTCAATAATTGTAAGAATATTATAACATATATTTTCAAACATTTTTGAATCCCTTAAAATTTGAAAAATATTAACAATAGTCAAAATTTAAAATTTTCATAAATGTGTTTAAAGCATAACGTAAATAATTAATACGTGTAAATAAACTTTTCGATTCAATCACGTTAATAATTTAGATATTCAAATTTCATTTCGAATATAAATAATATAATGTTGTTTGTACTGCAAAGATCAGGATAAATAATATCACTTGTAGTCAAATTTGTAAAGATGAGTATTAAAATCAAATATATCATAACGATTCCTAAGCTAGGATTTTCAATCGAATTAGAGAATTACACGAAGTAGAGGGAATTGGAAGAAATATTAAGGATTTTTATTTAAACAGGTAGTTAAGCTTTATTTAAGAATTTATTTATTATATGCGAAGATTAATTCAAATTTTTAAAGCATATTTTCTTGGTGGAAATACGGACCTCTTTTTGATTTCCTTCAAAGTTTTGCGACCTGCTTGGTATGGTGTAAGCTTCCTACGTATGGCTCTTGTCTTCTTCGGCCTCAAATCCAGGGGCTTGTATTTTTTGTTTTTACACAACAGACGAAGGTTCTCCTTCTGCTTTTGGTGCATTACAATGTAAACTCGAGCGATTGCTTTGCGAACGACTCGGCTAAAAATGAATAAACATTTGCATAAGCATGAAATGCTTGGGTTAAGGGTGAGGAATAACCTACGATAATTATTTACATTTTTGAAAGCTTTGAAGCGGCACCACCCGTTACTTTGGCCACTCGTAGATTCGTTAATTCCGTTTTGAGCTCCTCCAGCTGCTTAAGCAGCTCTTTCTTGTCTTTCCTTCGCAGTTGCGAACACTTAACTTTACCCTAAAACGAGTCAAGTATTAGTAAGGCAGATGCAACATAACCAAAACACAACATTAATCATTATCATAATGGAAGCACAAATATTAACATCTATAATTTCTTAAAATAAATATCACAAATAAATACGATTCGCATGCAACAAGCACCGATGAAAGTGATGAATTAAAAATTCAAGAACGTTAATTCATAAGCACAAGTGACTTGTTCATGTTTTCTTATAATTGTTGTTTATAACAATACTCGACAAATGCCAATAACTTATTACACATTTTGATAACTTGTTGCTTCGTCTTTAATTTTATTAGTCGAAATTGCAAATATTTTAACGGATCGTTGCGATAAAAACAGATTTAAAACAATATCTTAAAACTAACCATTTTGTCAGATCTTTGATGGTAAAGAAAGGATGGAGGTGTTATGAACCGAATAGGAATAGATGGAATTGAAACGCTGGAACGGAGATGAACCGGATAGAATGCTACAACTACCGATTCAACATTAAATTACGGATCGCTGAACGTCAGCTGCGTGGGCTCACGCGCGAACATTTAACGGTATATCGTTGTTTTTGTGAAATTGATGATTTCATTTTAACAATACGAGGCAGGCGCTATGCTGATTTTATTATTGATTAACATTGAAATAAATGGTGGTTGATTTGCATATCTTATCAACATGTAGAATCGATGGAATTCTCGATTTAAAGATTGATTGACAGGCAGGCGGAACTATAATGACTGTTTGTAATGTAGCGTTGATCTGTGAAGCTTTTCTCATAAAGTAAACGAACGTAAATAAATTAAGCTCCTCAATAGCAATTATACATGCGCGGACAATATGACGCAATGTAAGACTACCGTTACTAAGTAATAATTTCGTCGATTTAGGGCCGATTATTCGAGCTACGTTAACGGAGTGATTGAAAAATTTTAAACAGTTCGGATTAACAATAATAATGTAAAAATGACGATAGATAGAGATACTTAATAAATAGTTTACCAATGCAATCGATGTCAATCAAGGATATCTTTATATATAGCCTAAAGGTGCAATGTCTCGAGTTTCGATTATGAATTTTATAATATCTCGCATGGAACGTATAAGGCGGTGGATGCTTAGGAAGGGGATGGAGATGGAGACGGGGATGAAGGAGCCATGTGACACTTTAAAAGAGTAGGATTAAGATTACTCTCGCCGCCCGTTCGCAATCGTCGTTTATAATTGTTCGTTAAGAACAGCGGCGCGGCGACGGCGGCTGGTGCGACGGTGTCTGAAAACTCGATGAAAAACCCCTCGTCGAGTAATTGTCGGCTGCACCGGTGGCACGCCGCGCTCTTTCCATCCCCACTAGAATTTATGTATTGGCTAATTCGGCACGTCACGGCCAATATCGGCCAATATAGGCGTAATGGAAACGGCTGCGCACGAAGCGCGTCTCTCGCATATTATTGTGGAGCGACATTAATAAAACGTCTTCGTCGCTAGTTAGGCCCCTTTATCCCCGACCCGATCGCACTTCTCGTCCTCGGTTTCTCCTGCTGGCCCGTTACCGTCGGCTCGACAAAGGTTTCCCCAGCGCCGACAACCATCCGTCGCATTAGTCGCCCCCTCCTCCGGTCCCTAGCCGTCCACCCCCCACGACGACCCCCGGGACGAGCCGCACTTGCGAATCTCGGCCGAGGCGCGCGCCTGTGTGTGTGTGCGTGTGCGCGCGCGTGCGTGTGTGGGCGGGCGGGCGCGCGTGCGCTCCTCTCCGATAGGCCCCGCGAGGCAAAAAAGTGTCGGGCACGCGAGAAGCGGCGACTCGATGTCGCATACGTCGAGAGCTGATCTCGCGCCGCCGCAGCCCAGCTCGGGGAGGTTCCGACAAGAGTGCCACCAGGAGTCTTCGTTCCCATCGTGTCGTGGGTCGCGCGGCCCCGCGCCACTCGTGCTACGATGATTTGAAAATAGCCAGCGGAGCTTCCAACGACCATTTTGGTAAGTGACTACGTGTGCGTGACACGTCCGTGTGTTGTGCATTGCGCGACCGCCCCGCGACATCGCTGCTTACGCTCTTCAGCTAAAAGAGGATATTGGTTGGTGCGATGCGGGATTGCGACGCGGAGATCGACTGTCACCACTACTGGTCCATGCCAAATCCAATAATGACGATGCCTCGTCGTCGCTCTGGCGCCGTGTTTGTTATTGCGTTACTCTAAGCGCCCGGATGGGATGGGCGTTTTATCCTACCTGGCCAATATTAAGCGGCTCTTAGCTCGACGACCTTCTTAAACATTCGAGCTCTTGTCTTTGATAATTATCTCTATGGTAATGTACGGGTAGATGATTCCTATGGAAGAATCCGCGCCAGCGTTGTACGCTCATTTAGAATGTAAAGTTTTTTTCTGACACCATGAATTACATAATTAAGCGTAGTAATTATAGCTATTTTGTGCTTTTCTTGACCGACCTTGTGTCGTAATTTTAATGTGCCCCGTCCTTGTGGCTTGGCTAATCCCTTGTGCTAATTGTAATTTGTGATTTTTGATCAATTTTAGGGTCCGTAATGGAGGATAGCATGAGTGTCAAATCTACAGAATCAGTGGCGACTAGCGATGAGTATGAATTTGTAAGCGATAAAGGTACTATCAAGCAGTCGCAATCCTTACTCGAATCGCCAATGTTGAAAATAGCCAACAATGGTAATTTAGAGGATCTTCAGAATAATTTGCAAGAGGTAAGTACTGTCATTGCCCGTGCGATGCTTTGATTTTAATTCCTTATCTTTTTATCCATCCGTTGATGTACATTGTAGGTACTGACCGAAGAATCAAAAATGGACGAGGGCGATAATACAGAAATAATATCGAGAGATATATCAAATACTCAGGAGACTAAAACAATTGGCAAAAGTAAATTTTACGACATCTCTTCGTGTGCCATTACGTCGGAAAAACAAGATAACATGAAGCCAGATGATTATTTGGATGAAGGTAGATAATGTTTTGTTAAAGTTGTTATTTTTCTATTTTAAGGCAGATTCATTTATGGTAGTATAAAGATTAAATTATTAAATCATACATTTACGATTATATGGCTATAATATTTTGGCCTCTTAATTCGTTTCATCGAGAATCCAAGGCTTTATCAAGTTGCTTAAATAATTTATTATTTTAGAATTAACCATCTTATCGGATGTACAACAGGAATATACAAAATTTGACGCTGTTACTTATCTTGGAGCAGCTCAAATAAACGCACCTAAATCAGAAGCTGAAATACAACGGAATATGAAAATATTAGCCGAACAATCGCTGAATTCTGTTCCGATAAAAGTGTCTATATCTGTACCGAGTTGTTCGCAAGGAAACGTTATGTGAGTATTCAGGAGCGCCTAGTATAGTTCCTTCTATAATTCTATAATTCCTGTGCCATATAGTTTGTACGACTCTGCAACTCAACAACCCATCAAGAGTTACGAAGTGCAGCGCATCCTTTTCTATGCGAGAGGTGAATGTTCAGGTCCTTATTCGGCATGTTTTGCTTTCACTTGGTCTCACGGAGACACCCAAGAATCGGCGATATTTCAATGTCATGGTTTCCGTTGTGATATACCCGAAGCTGTAAGTTAAAACTGAAACTGGTGAATTTGTTTTATTTTGCAAGATAAAAATACGGTATGTTGTACAGTGAGTGTCGTATACGTTGCAGATACGACAAGTATCCTCATGTTTTGCCAAGGCCTTCCAAAGGTTTCCTCGGTCAATGACTAATTCCCTAACTGGAAGTGATTTTAACAATGGTTTTAATCCTACCAATGACAAGGTTAATTCAAGGGTATTTATTTTCGAAGTTACTATGGAAATAAAGGAGGAGGATGGAAAGGGTGCTTACAATACAGTTCCCAAAGACAGAAATTGTTTTAAGTTACGTAGTAATGTTCCAAAGCAGGTATGCTTGAGCATACTGCAAGTGAAGGAAGGAGGTATCACATTGGAGATAGAACGATGTTTCGGCGTTTTAGTCAGTCCTGGTCGTAACGTTAAACACAGTGATATGAGATTATTAGAGATGGTAAGATCATAAAGATTCTCTCTAAAATGAAATTGTATATAATGCAATGTAAATGCATGATTTTTAGCAAACAAATACGTCGCCAGTAGCGCCAGAAAAACAGTGTTATAGCGTTTGTGGGCGATGGGATCCTGCCGATCCTGCATTGGAGACCTTAAATATTGAAACACCGAGAGAAGGAAAGATCTTCATGACGGTTGCCGTTGATTTGGTTATTCGAGGTATAAGGGAGCCCGTGAGATTTGTTATCGAAACGTCTGTTAAAGTTTTTCCGCAGAATGAAAGATTTTGGTATTTTAATAAGAAAAACCTTGTACAGCAATTTTTCCTTAATTCAAAAGAGGTAAGATTAGCTTTTTCGCCATTTTCAAATATCGAAGCACACGATTAAAACTATCGATCGAATTCAATTTTTATAGATAATATTTAACGAAGGAAACGAAATCCATTATGAAGTCCAGAATATCGAGACATCTGGTGAATTAGATAGAAATAGATTAAATTTAGCTTTAAATCTGGCATCGTTGATTAGATCCCCCTCCTTCACGAGCATTGACACTCTCACGCCTAAAGAAGATAACGATTCAGGTCTGCATGAACTTTCGCACTCTCGAAGTTTTAGGCGCAAGAAAATTATTTATGAACAAGGTTTATTACAGATGGAGACGAACCAATGCTAAGTGGAACTGGCGAAGTTTCAAAGGATTGTTCGGCAGACGAACTCGCCAGTTGGGCCGAAGTTTTGGATAGCTGGCAAGTTAACGAACAGCGCCCGAAGCTTCTCGTTAAATTAACGAAGCAAGGTATACCGGAAGCTCTTAGGGGAGAAGTGTGGCAAAGACTCAGTAATTGCGATAATTCTCAAGAAATGATGGACAGATATCGAATGCTTATTACAAAGGTAAGTAATTCAAGTGCCATTTGCGCGCGTAATTTTAATATCCGTAGAGAAATTGAAATACAGTCGATGGTTAAATATTAATTGCCATTCAATAATACGAATAATAAATCGCTCGCCCACCCTCGCCCCTCGCCCCTCGCCCCTCGCCCCTCGCCCCTCGCCCACCAAACACTGTGAATCCTCAATTTTCTCCGTTTCTCCATCGTACACTAAAATCATTGTCCCTTACTTTATTATTGATTATTGAATGAATTTGAATAATAAATATCAATAGGAGAGCAGCTGCGAGGGCGTTATTCTTCGGGATATTAATAGAACATTTCCTGCTCACGACTTCTTTAAAGAGACCGGTGGATTGGGTCAAGATTCATTGTACAGGATAAGCAAAGCTTACGCAGTATACGATGAAGAAATTGGTTACTGTCAAGGTCTGAGTTTCCTAGTCGCAAGTCTTCTTTTGCATGTACGTTATTATCCATTATTATCTTTCCAAAATAATAGGCCTCTGTTGACGAGGATTTATAAAATATAAAAAAAAAAAAATTCTTCTCTAGATGCCCGAAGAGCAAGCATTTTGTGTTTTGGTTAAATTAATGTACGATTACGGTTTACGAGACCTATATAAAGACAGATTTGACAACCTTCATATGAGGTTCTATCAACTTAATCGTTTGATGGAGGTGAGTGAAATAGAATATTTAATATCTTAAATTTAATATCTTGCTGAAAGAGCGAGTGAGCCTAAGGTGCAAAATTTCTAATTATCAGGACCAGCTGCCAGAACTTTTCAAGCACTTCTATGAGCGTGGCATAGAGACGCACATGTTCGCTGCACAATGGTTCCTTACGCTATTTACCGCAAGGTTCCCACTATACCTGGTGTTTCACATATTAGATGTTTTTCTGTTACAAGGATTTGATACGTTATTTCAAGTTGCGCTTGCTCTTTTAACGGTAACCATAATTTAACGCTATCTCCCTCACAAATTACGTGGATATTCGTATTACAGATAATCTAATGCTTGCGTGTTTTCTTTTAGTTGTGCAAAAAGGAATTGCTGCAATTAGACTTTGAGAGCACTCTTAAATTCTTCCGGGTACACTTACCAAAACGATGCCGTAACGAAGAGGTTTCACGATATGTTATGAAACTTGCCTGTTCGATTACTCTAAAAAAATTAAAGAAGTATGAAGCAGAGTTCATGACATTAAAAGGTAATTTTGTCTTCTACGTTTAATTCACGTATATTTTTGTATTAAAGTGAGAGCCGAGAATGATTATTACGCCCAATATCCTCAGCAATTTTAGAATTACAATATAGTAATTAATTGTAATATTTTTTTGTTGCTCTGACCTAGCATTTCCTTGAATTGTAAAAGAAAGTATTTCTTTGCATTTTGTTATGTTATAAGCACAATTTTTTCTTTTTCGTCATTCGATGCGGCTGAAGAACATGTCACGGTGAATGTATTTGAGAATAACTATCGATTAATTAAATTATTAGTTTGACAAATTATTGATAATGCTCGCTTCAAAATTAACGATTATGTTTACACGTAAGTGCAAGTTCTTTCAAGGCTACTGTGATACAAATTTTATTTCAAATTATAATTTAAGGCCACAATGAAGTTTAAAGGAATATTAAAGTAAAGCTACAGTATTGTATTTAAAGCAAACAACGAAACAAATTTTTATAACTACAGTATTTCATTAAATCGAACAAATATATTTTATTTTTATTAAGAGAGACGTTTGAGCATATAATCAAAATATTATTATGTAAGAATAAGTGTATTTACTGTTAATGTAGTTTGCTAGGCGCTGGTATTTGCCAATATCTTTAAAACAAAAAAATACAAAAAAATACAAAAAAAAAAAAACAAAAAAAAAACAAAAAAACCGTAGTAGGAAAATGTCTAAATTAATCGATGTATTAATAATTACAAAATAGTTCCAATAGCTTATAAGATGAAATTCTCCTTTCCACATTATGGATTTTTAGATAAGAATGCAATATTTTTTATGATTCTGATTAACGGAATCTAGTATTTAGAGAGCTTGGTCTTACGAATGACAACCATAAGTATTTATTGTAAATAACATAGATAATATAGATTTATATTAAATTCCTATTTTATTTGATTTTGAATAATGGATAATTTAAAGTGATGTTTCAAGTGCATTGTAATCCAAGGCCTTAACCTTTTCAGTCGTGTAAATTTATGTACATTTTTCACTTATAACTAAAATTAAGCTCCCACAATCGTATAATTCATTAAATATGCAATGGATCTTAAACTTAAAACGAAGAGCTTCGTACAATTACTTTCAAGTCTCTAAAGATATTTGCTAATGGTAACATTTGCATAAATGTACATATTTTGTTGAAAGTACAAATAAGTCTATATCTTCAAAAGATAGATTTGTAATCGCAGTTTGAAAATCAACAAAATTTCGTTAAAAAAGCAAGACAAAGAAAAATCTGTAAACTATTATTATTGTTTTGTAAGTTGAAAGTAAATAAAATTTTTTCGAATCTTAAACTTTATTAAATAAAAGAATTTAAATTGGATATGAATATTATTTTTTTTTTTTTTTTTTTTTTTTTTTTTTATTTTTTTTATTTTTTCTTCTAATTAATTATAGATCTTATTATTTAATTTTAACGAGATATTTCTTTTTTTTTTTAAGCCGACATTTTCCTAGCTGGTGTAAGTCTGTAATACTTCTATCCACTAAATACCTAATTCTAATTTCTTCAATATCCTGTCCGATGATAGACTTTTGACGTTCTATTGTTGTAAAATCTTATGCACAAGAAAAGTCACTTGGCTATTAGTATTGCATGCTTATTTAGTATAGTGTGTTATTTATGAATATGTGCAAGGAACGCAGTGATTTCGGAAAAAGTACATACATTGCTCGTGCACACTCCTTAGATAATGTATGCATTAACGAGCTTGTGGCTTACCGAATTAAAGTAGAAATTGGCCTTATCGATGATCGCGCTAATACTTAGAGAACGAGAGGTGTCGGCTCAATAATTCATGTATACACGAAAGAGGAAAAATGAAAAAGAAAACAGGAATAAGAAAATAAATAATGCGCATAAAAGATAAGTGCAAAAAAGAAACGTAGCAACAAAAGAATGTTCGCGCGCTTCAATACGTTCGCTTTTCGCTTATTAGTTATTTTCCTTTTTTGTTTTTGTTTTTATTTTTTATTTTTTTTTTTTTTATTTTTGTTTTTGTTTTTTTTTGTTTGTTTTATTTACCCAAGCGTTTCGAGAGAATCTTCCCATATATCGAGCAAAAAACATGCCTATATATTTTGCAGAACAAGATACCAGAAGAGACAAGAGGAAAGCAGGAGTGGCCGTTAAAAAGAACTTAGGAAAAATTGAAAATTATGGCATTAGACTAAATCAGTATATTAACAAAAGCTTCGGCCTAACCGAGTTCCCTTGTCAAAATCTCGACGAGCTGCAATTCTTTAAGTAACCGAGTCCGAATTCGCCCGTCAAATTGTTTTTTCTTATTCGCCTCCTCTTTTATTACTTTTGCCTTCGATGTTACGTAAATATAAGTACGAGTAGTTCGTGTCAGCGCGAGGCATCTCAACTCGTAGATATAACACATATGCGTGATCTATTTATTTATTTATTTATTTATTTGTTCGTTCGTTCGTTCGTTCGTTCGTTCGTTAGTTAGTTAGTTAGTTAGTTAGTTAGTTAGTTAGTTAGTTAGTTAGTTAGTTAGTTAGTTAGTTAGTTAGTTAGTTAGTTAGTTAGTTAGTTAGTTAGTTAGTTAGTTAGTTAGTTAGTTAGTTAGTTAGTTAGTTAGTTAGTTAGTTAGTTCGTTCGTTCGTTCGTTCGTTTGTTTATTTGTTTGTTTGTCTGTCTGTCTGTCTGTCTGTCTGTCTGTCTGTCTGTCTGTCTATCCGACCGTCTGTCAACTATTGTTTTTTTTTCTTTTTACTTACACGGATGTATATACACATATAAGTATGAGATCATCCCGAAAGTGTTTGCAATGCTTTGAATTTGTGCGCAGCAATAAAAATATATAGATTAAATCGTAGTTACTAACAAACAAGTTGCTTTGAATTAAACGCACCTTTGTTGTTCAGTGAACGAATGAGCAGGGAGAAATTCAATATTATACCAACGAATTAAACGCGAGAGAGAAACATTTCTTTGTTACACGATATCTTATCTTATACATGTGTTATCTTTGTTTTGAAATAGTAATACGTTTTAAACATTTGTTGACAATAAACAACCCTTGAACGTCTTTTAGTTTTCATTTCGTTTCCTCCAAGTATCCCACATCCATAATCATTTAATCCGCTTTTTGGAATTATAAGTTTTTGCTTTTGTTATGTAACTTATTATTATCGCTACATCTTCTAATCTATGTAGTTACTAACTGTATATCCAGTGTTATATTATTGTAGTTAAATTTTATTTTTGTATTACTTTATACTGAAAATATAATAACGATGCAAATATATTAATATGTTTATCGCATATTTCAATAATATTTTGGTATCTCCTCTTATGTACACTTTATGTGGGTGGATTGTGGATAACATTTATTTTAATTTAAAACAAAAGTCAGTTTTATATATTTTATTGTACCATACAATTTTATTATTTATTTACAAATATATCGTTAACCGAGGCTTATCGTCAACAACAAAAAAAAACAAAACAAAAAATCGTTATAACGGCACGTAAAAATTAACTTAACCAATAAAATTTATCTATAATATCAAATTTCCGAGATAACTGAAATAACAAAAATAATAGCGTCGCTTTTTTTTTTTTTTTTTTTTTTTTTTTTTTGGGCTACAAAAAGATAATGGAGATAATCATATTTTTTCCGTACGTGTACACCAATAGCGGTAAAGTACGCAATCTTCAACTTTCATATTTAATTTATTTCATTCGTTCGAATATTCTAACGAAATATGTTATGTACGAAGTATATCAGTAAAATAGAACACATGGTTACCTATTAGCTTAACACGTCGATGATAATAAGCATTGTATGTGTAATTTCTAAACTCTTCAGTGTTCATTCAAACTGATGAAATAAATTTTTTTTTTTTTTTTTTTTTTTTAATAAATCCATGCGAACGAAGCAGCGATTTACTCCAGAAGCGAGGAAAATACAAATGTTCGATAACATTTAACTTATCAAACGTCAGTAATTACGAATAAGTGCTTTCTAACGCTTGAAAAGGTTCATTGGTAATATTAATCAATTGCATTCAGATAATATAAATTGAAGATCCAAAGGTTAATGATACTCTCGTATAATATTACTGCTTACTCGGAGGCGTGAAACATATTCCATTTCCATACGATGCTTTCATAAAATAAACACTCGCTTTCACTAACGAGTGAAATTAATGCATGTCTTTAAAAAAAATTTGCCGCGATAGACGACTTTTATTGCGGGCACAGTCGAGCCTTCGAGTACTTCAACCATAACGCAACGAATATTATTTCAATTCTACATTAAAATTATTTAGTTATTTACACGTATCTAGATATTTTTTAACATTTTTTTTTTTTTTTTTTTTTTTTTTTTTTTTTTTTTTTTTTTTTTTTTTTTTTATAAAATTATGCAAATCTTCGTTTATTCGAAATAAACGATATTTAGATTATAAGAATTATAATACCGCCGAGCTATTGGTATACACTTAATGCATTGCGATTAATTAGCAATAAAGAAAGACCGTACGCGAATATTATAATGAGACGCATGTTTATTTATACCTATCTTATAACGATTACGTTAATGATAAAGTGCAGCGACTCGAATTTTCGTACAATATTGAGCTGCTACTATTTAACATCGAGTATTCATCAATTTCCAATAAAGACACAAGTAAATTCGTGACAACGCTGTATGTATTACCAATTATATCCACCATTATCGATCTAAATCCGATGAAACAATTGTTTCGAGGCGCACATTTGGGCATAAATGTCATATGGTCTTCTCAACTTGTAATCTCAAGTCGCGCCTTGTTCATCTTGTGTATTATAAAATTAAGCTACAAAGGGATGATAAGCATCGACAGATGTGCCACGCGAAATTAGCTAAGAATCCTTCTCGAGTGCGTCGTAATTCAATCTCCAAACGAGCTTCATCATCGCCTTAGCCGAATGACTCACGCACACTGACGTCGTGTGCAAGTATCGAAAGTGTGGTAAATAGCAAATATCTCGAGCGCTCGGACGGTATGGGAGGGCGACAGGATCGTGGGGAGGGGGGGGGAGGTCGGCCGGAGATCGGGGGAAATGGTTTGGGCGCTGCAGATTATGGGGTCTGTCGTTACCGACGGTTCGAGCCTCTAAAAGAGCAAAACAAGTAAATGCTTTAACAGAGCGAGTCCAGTCAGTTCATTCATCGTCCCGAAACTATCCGACGAGCGCTTTCGCAATCGGTGGCGGCAATTGGAAGAAAAAGCGCGGCTCCCGAGCGAACGCCACGCGCCGCCGCCGCCACCGTCACCTCCATCTCCACCTCCACCTCCACCTTCACCTCCATCTCCACCTCCACCTCCACCTACGTACCTCCACACGTTCACCTCTCCACCTCCGTCGCAGCAACAGCCGTCCCAGAGGCACGTTCTTACGGGAGTCAGGTGCGGCATACGTAAGCGGTCGCGGGAGTCGCGCTTAACCCCAGCGATGGCCAAGAGGACGGGCAGGAGTGAGTGCGCGGGTAGGATGGTCCGGTCGGGCCTCACCTCGGGCACGGAGCCGAGGTGGGGCCCGAACGGCGCCTGGGGTTCGCGCGCCCCGGCGCTCAAGCACACGCTCTTGTTTTCTCGGTCGTCGCCGCAGAGGCCCAGGAGAACGCGGACGAGTACAGCAACGAGGTGGAGCAGCTGCGGGGTGCAGTGGCCCGGAGCGACGAGGAGAAGCAGCGGCTCGAGGCCGAGCTCGCCCAGGTCAAGGAGATGCTGCAGCGCGAGGTGACAAGGGCCGACGCGGAGAGTCGCAGGAACGCCGTCATCATTGCCGAGTACAAGCAGGTAAGCGGGATCGGTCGGCGATCCGACTTTGGCCGTTTCGTATTGCCGATCCCGATCCCATCGCTCCGAGTATCGGCTCGACGGGGTGCGCCCGCGCGCACGAAATTTAGAGAGAATGATTTAGAGAGTGTGAGGGGGGGGGGATGAGAACATAACAGAGAATGCGACAGTTATGGTGGGGGTTGAGGATAGGCTAGTGTCTCTAGATGAGGCCTTATTTTTATAACGATTTAAACCGATTTAAGCCGGCGCTCTAAATCGATCCCGCGATTCGTCCAAGCTTTCCCTTTTTTTCCCGCGTTTCACTTTCATCCGGCGAGCAAAACTCGCACAGCCGATTTTACAACCTGTTTTATCTCCCTTTCTCTCTCTCTCTTTCTCTCTCTCTCTCACTGCCAAAAAAAAATTTATTTTAACGCTAGGAGCCTATGACTTTTTGTATTGAAAACGTCCCATTCAACAAGATCGAACGAATGTTTCCACTTTAAACTGTAAATATCGTTTCAAGAATTTCAAGAACAATTAGCTGATCTTTTATTGCTAGTAATAAAAACAGCTGTTTCACAAAATTATGATGATTAAGTTTAGTGTTAAATAGCCGTGCTTGCGTGACTCGCGATACGAGTCGATTTTTTTTAAAAACAATATCGTCGATACTTTGTAGGCTAAAATTTAGAAACGAATGAGTATTAGTCACGACTTTTTATAATCGATAAATTATTAGCTTTTTTTCCAATTCGGATTATATATTTTTTTTTACTAAAGAAGTAATTGGCTAAATTCGCATACTAGTCTCTTCTTGATTTCACTCGAACGATCACATTATTTCCAATAAAATTAATTTTTTTCAACTATCTTTTACGGATTTTTTTTTTTTTTTTTTTTTTATTCCCTACTGATTTCTAGTATTTATACTTATGAATGGCAATGGGCTTTGATGATTAATTTTTATTAGATGTTCTATAAATTTATAATGATTTATCTATAATTTATTTCTAAACATATGACTATGAATTATCTTATGTAAACGATGGAATACTTATAAAAATTATTATTAAAAACTGTTCCTTCGTAAACTTATGTTTTTCTAATATTGATATAACTTGTCGTTAAGAGAAGAAACGATGTTTTTCCATTTTTTCGGTGTATTATCATTCTTTTTTCTTTCTTATTCTTTTTCTTTTGCTTGCTTCATCGGATGTACATAATAATATTATTCTTGTAAATAAAGACCTTATTTACGATGCAGGTTAACGAAGAATAAAATACTGATTGCGCGTGCAGGATACCAGAAGACAATTAAAAACCATACAACATACTTTAGATACGAAGACTTTGTTTATTTATAGATATCGAAGCAAATAAATATTATTCATATCATTTGGTTATTAGGTGAGAGACGATATATTAATATGTCGGAAAAGACACGCTTTTGCATTAAAGTATGAAGAATCGATTAGATAAAATCCATTACTAAATTATGAATGAGCGCAATGAAAGTATTTATATATAATATAATATTAGGAATTACATATTTTTCCTGTTTATTTCTTATCATTCGCTGTCGTTTCAATTTGAATTTATAATTTAGATTTGCCAGCGCCTCGAGGACGATTACAATACTGCCAAGGCATCTTTAAGTGACTTACGCGTAAGTTATTATTATTTATTTTTTTTTTTTTTTACTTTAATGCAATAAGGACTTTACATACTATTGCCCACAATATTATGATTATAAATTATTTTTACGTGATTTTTATGGCTATGTATCGCTTTCAGTACTGATAATGTACATATAATAACCAACTGTAATGCAACACGGAGTTTGAATTGGGTTGGATCAAAATATAATTTATCAATTTCTTTGTAATACGCTAATATAAAATTTTTACAATCAAGTATTTACAAATTGATAATTATGAAACTGTTTAAAGCAATAAATTATCTCTACACTCGGAGTCTAACATAGAGTTTATTTGAGCGTGTAAGAACATTACTTAAGACTTTACACTTTTCAACGCCACAGAGTAAAAGTCTAATTCTATTACAGATTTATAAGGGATTTTATTATCCTGACATGTCAGCGCGTATCCTGCATTACTTATGCAATGAACAACTGTGCACCGCCTCTTAAATCAACAAAAATGTTTTTTTTTTCGAAACTTTTTTCGAGACCAAACCACTCATTATCTTTCAATATATTTAACTAATTTTGCTTTCAGACAAAGATCTCAAAATGTGACAAATGCTCCGTTAATGTGACAAAGTCATGCAACGCGGTGACCAATGTATCGCACTGCATCGAGAATAGGGTCGATCCCATTCTAAGTAGAGCTCAAGAGAGAGTGAGAGAGCTCGAGTTGGAGTTGGCCCAAACAAAGTTGGCGCACGTCGAGGCCGAGTGCAGGAATCAGGTAATTACATTATCCTACCTACCGGTCACTTCCGTCATTGAATTCTTTTCACCGATCGGCACTAGAAGCTCATTTAATTTTCGCGAAACTTCATCCCGATGAGGGATACACGTTGAAAGATAGTCCAGGACGTACATACGATGGCGCTCGTATGTGTTGGTGCGCTCGGGTTATGTGGTGGAGACGTAAGCTCACCTAATGTCGTTTATAGTGATAGTGCGATATAAAGCGATCGGTTGCCGTCTTTTGCTTATAAGTATTATTAAATTTATAGCAAAATAGTAAAATTACATTCGTACGTTTAACGTTTATTTGAATTTATTTTATTTGAAGGGGAAGGGGAGATAATTAAATTAAAAAACCAACACATTTTATTGAATTTAAAGAATTGGTAATGGAAATATCAGTAGCTAATGAATGACTTATAGTAAGTAAGAATGTTCAATAATATTTTAGATGGACAGGAATAGCGATGATAGATTATATTGTCAGAGAATCTAATTAAATTCCATAAATACTTGTATTTAAGACTATGGCTTAATCATCTTTATGCTCGGCAAGCTTTTGGCCTAGACGAAGGGCCAAGAAGACAGCTGAACAGATAAAATGAAATTGAATGAAAATCAAGCTCGCGTTAAATAATAATTTGATGTTCGCTCGAACGGTAAAGGGAAGAATTGTACTTGCGTGTACAAGTTTCGGTAATATTAACAACATTTACGTCTGCCGCCTGGCTGTCGATGTTTAGCGATCAAAAAATTGCACAAAGTTAAGGTTTCAGCATGGGTGTCGGTAGTTTGTTTGGGTAGCGACGAGATATAGATCGATGATGATCTCGGGCGTTGATCGTTAGGGCTGAAATCTCGCCCCGGTCGAGAGCCTTCGCCGAGAGTCTCGATATAGCGTCGAGTCGGTTAAACACGACATTGAAAGCCTGATTTTCGGCTTGCAGGACCTTACGCACCAGCTACACGCCACAGCCTCGGAGCTCCAGGCGGCCCGCAACAGTTGGCCTTGGCTGAGCAAGACCCTCTCGAGTATCAAGGAGGCGGCGAACAAGCGCGAGATGATGAGCGGAGGGGGCGCCGTCGCTGGGATCCTGAGGCGCGAAAGCGCTCCAAGCGGCGAAATGCGGCACACCTTGCATTCCCAGGGCCGCGACAGCTTCAAGGAGGCTGTCTGATAACGAGCTCGAGCTCATTATCATCATTGTCGTCGTCGTCGTCGTCGTCGTCGTCGTCGTCGTCATTATCATCATTATCATCATCATCATCGTCATCATCTAGAAGACACTAGTCACTCGGGCGGAACTATTTGTGGTGCTTCCCTGTTGCGGATTATTATCGACATCGTGGACGGTGTTCGGTTGCTCGGGTTACATTTCGCTCCTTATACCGATGCTGAAATTAGCGAACCGCCTTCCCTTAGTCACGATTGAAAGGTCCGTGGAGCCGCGCGTCCTCTCGCCGTTGCCGTAAGTTTATGCTGACCTAGAGCGAAGAGTCGGCGCTGAGGTCCCGCCCGTCGAGTTTTAATCATTAGGAATGTTAATCGATGCCCCCAAGGAAATATTTAAAAAAGGATTTCAGCATTCTCGATGTACGCTTTAACTACGTAAATTTTGGCCCTTTGTCCACTAACCTTGACGTAATGACACTACTCGGTAGCGATATCACGACGATCGTATTATTGATTACGTCGATATGCCAATAGCGGCTGCAAATAGTCTCAGTCCTGACACATACACCTACACACTCACGCTCATATATCTACCCTCGAGATATACTTAAAGATTAGATAGAAGATAGAGGGAGAGAGTGAGAGATGGAGAGATAGATAGATAGATAGATAGACAGATAGATAGATAGATAGATAGATAGAGAGAGAGAGAGAGCGAGAGAGAGAGAGAGAGAGAGAGAGAGAGAGAGAGAGAGAGAAGGGAAAAAATCGTACGTTCAATTACCGTGCAAGTAGTGCAACCACGCACACGGAGTTGAATTTTTGCATAAACGCCAAGACGTAAATAGAAAATAAACAAATAATATTGAAAGTAGATTATATATGTGGGGTAAACTTTTCTTTGGGAATTTGCAAGTGACTCGAACGTTTTCCTTTCAAACGTAAAAGCGTATTTAGATAAATCCTTCGTTGGCTGGAAACTGAAAATTTTTCTATATTTTGATAAGATATGCGAGAAGCTTTTTAACGGCTTACTAGTTTATAGCGTATTTTGGTAGTATTATGGAGTTTCAGCGATGCAATACTTAATGGCACGACAACAATCACTATTCAATTAATTCTCAGTGGCTGAGACGGATATTATTAAGGTACCAGGCACAGTAAGCTGATAAAAGTCTTTAACTTTTTTATAAAACCACGAGGAACTCAAAGAAACTAATTTATAGTTCTTGAAGTATGTCTCAATGTAATTAGAGATTAATAACCCTAGAATGCTACGTTTATTTTCCGTTAACAATTAACATAAACGCATTAGTGGTGCGTTTGTGCGATAGTAGACTGTATTGTTATACTTACTCTTGAATTATAATGAATAATTTTCTACGTATTTACGTTTATCGCAGCAATTTTTTACTAATTCAACTTTGTATAAAATATTTGATAATCGCGAGCTTCTTTAGCATTTTAGGGTTCGAATAACTTATAATTTTATGAGATTCTGTTCAGTAAATTTAGACTTAATGAAAACTAGTTTTTAATTTATTGTATTTTAATTGATTAATTAATTAATGCCCGTTCGTTGATATTTGGCGTTATTTGCAAATAGTGAGCGAATTATAAATTACCGGCAGCAGTTGATTTTGGTTAAAATAAAATCGTATTTAAAAATAATTGGGTTTCCATTAGGTTTTTATTCGCCTTAAATTTAATATTTTTAACTAGGGTTATTCCACCACCAATATACTCTTTCACAATGCACATTGACGCTCGAGTAAAATATTAATACGTTTCATGTGTATCCTCTTAAAATACTTATTGTATCCTTTTAAAAAGCAATTACGTTCAAATAAATTAGAGTTATAGTAATAATAATAATTATTATTATTATTATTGTTTTTTGTTTTGTTTTTTTTTTTATTTATAAATATAAGTATATATTGTACACACATACGTTTATATATATATATATATATACATGCATAAAAACACAGGCGCGCGTACACGAACACACGCACGCACACATACACGTATATATACATATAGTTGCGCAACTTACACAGTGGCTGTAATGATGACATCTAAAGAAAAATTGGACGAATATGGAATATTAAATTTTGTTAGGCAAATGTTTCAATTCGTCTAATAACCATTCCTATTCGATTATATATTAGTGGCGTGCAATTTCGATTGCATTTTAATGTTAACATTCCAAAACGATTAATAGTAAAAACTATTGATCAACAATAATTTCTTTCTTATTTATATTAATATTTCTTATTGTGAAATAAGAAGTTTATTATTGACAATTTCTCGGTTGTTTCGATTTTCATTTTTTAAGAGTATTTTCAAAAAGTGAATTACAAAGGCACAAAAACATGTGTTTTCTTAATTAATAGATGTACTTTTTCAGCAGAATAAAATTAAAATTTTAAAAGCAAAATAAAATCAAGAAAGCCCAATGACATTCAAAAACCTTGCATATAACGTACATCAAATTGGCATTCGTCATTACGTATCATTTTATTGCAATTCTGTATTTAGTTATTAGTTAATTCTAATGTATTGCAATTTCTGAAATTCCTCTTACATGCATAATCATCATAACATCATTATTTAATACAATATGCAATATATGCAATATCAGTCTTATCTTTATTAGTCAATAATGTTATATTGGTGTAAATAATAGTTACATGGAATTTCACCCGCAGATATTTCTCATGACAACCTTGCAATATAAAAAGTATTTGTACATTTTGCCTTGTGCCATAATTATTGGAATTTTCTATCAAAAAAATTATATTCAATTGTTTTAGTCATTACAATGTAAAGAAATATATAATTAAAGTTCAAGTATTTTTTTATTTAAGTTCATAATCCCTTTCGTTACTCCCATTTCTTTTGTTATATTTGTCACGACAATAAAAATTTGTGTTTACGATTAAAGCAATTGTCTGCAATTATTGAATTATACCTTTTTGATATTGGCACGTAAACAAATGATTATTTAAACATATGTAAATACTAAAAAATTATTGTATAATGGGAAATAAATTGAAATAATAAAAAATAAAAAATTATTAATATTGCAATTTTATTTCAATTAATATATATATATATATATATATATATATATATAAACTTCATCAATAATGTAAAAATAATACATTCCTCCTCTTTTTAGGTAATCCAAATTTATGTTTATTTCAATGTAAAATATACTTACAAAACTTTATTTATTCAATCAAGGCATATTTTCTACTAAAATAAAATAAAATAAAATAAAAGATAATATAAATTTTATATATAATTTTGTATTAAATTTTTTTACTTAATTTCAACAATGGCAAACATAATAGGTCAGTAATTAAATGATCGTAAAATGATATTGCATTACTCAGGATTCTTATTTCAATTAAATTTATTAACCGTTCAATTTACGATTATTTTTATTTTTTTTTTTTTTTTTTTTTTTTTTTTGTATTATAATACTTCCATATTATATAATTTATATAAAATTAGCTTAAGTTTTTACAAAGTTTTGTGTTATAATTAATATGAATAATCTATCAATTATTTAAGTTATATTTTCATCGTTAATACCGTATAAGTAATAAAGTTGTCTTTAAATAAGCAATGTAAAATTTTAAATATTTTATATATAATTCAATTAACGGTAATTTTAATAAATGTTTTAAGAGAAAAAAAAAAAAATATATATATGTATATGTATATGTACATAAGCATGTATTTAATAAGTACAATACCACCAAGTCTGCTTTTCATTCGAAAACTAAATTATAAATCTATTTCAAATATGTTTGTATTAAATTTTTATAAGAGAACTTAATTGGTGTATCATTTTTTTTATCATCCTGCCATGTAATAATAATAAGCGACTGAAACATATCGCACGTATATGTTTACATATAACATTACATTCTTTCTTTCATAATTCAGATTGTTTAAAATTGTGGATTGTAACATCCACTGATTCATTAGAATGATTTTTTGATGAGTCTGTTACGCAATTATTTATTGTAGAATCTACAATACCGGAATCTATAATATTGGAATGACTAAGTGATAAGCTGTGCAACATATCTGAAAAGACATTTTCTGATATTGACTCTTTTTGTCCGTCGATGCTTGAGTCGATAATCGTATCTTTAAGTTCCGTAAGTATTCCACCATTACTATTGTTCATTTCTTCCGAATTTCTCGAGTCCTTTGTCTCAGGTGAATACCTACTATTTGTAATTTCCAATAATGAATAAAAATAAATGGAACAAATATTTTATGAATAAATAAAAAACTTACCTATCCATCTTATCCATTGTTATTGAATTTGTTGGCGTACAAGTATCATCCAATAGATTGTTAGTTTCTTCAAATGTATCTTTTGATTTGTTATTTGTACAAAGCACTAATTCGTTGTTACTTTTGTTAGCTAAATTTGAGTTTTGGTATTTGGTTTTATGCTCAATATTCTTACATTTAGGTGATAATAGGATAAGCGGGGAGCTTGTATATTTTAATTCATTAAATGTGTTTTCATTTTCATCATTTATTGATGCATTATTATTCAAATTCATAACCAACTCAGTAGTTACTGGTGAACTTATTGTAGTTTCCAAAAATGAATCTACGCTATCTATACGTATATCCTCGCTCATTTTACTTGGTTCCAAAAACATACTACACATACTAGTATTTACACTAGATGATTCGATCTCATTTTCATCCTCATAATTTAATTCGCTGTCCTGAAACGATTGGGTGGAAAAGAATGAAGTACTAGCTTCTGTAATTTTACTATGTGCGTACGTCGTACATGTTTGCCTTTCGATACAAGAATTTGTTGGAGTATCGGAATCATTTTCTAAATCATTGGTCTCAGAAAAACTACAAATAAATACCGACTTATTACCAGATGAATTAGCTTGATCAGTCGATTCACATTCTGTTACTACATTATTGGGAAACTCATTATTTTGATAAACAAATCGATTACTATAAACTATACTTGGGCTAAGGACAGTATTTGACGTAGTGTTATTTCTATTTTCTATGCTTGATACGCTATCCCAATAGTCATCATCTGAATATTTGTTAAAGCTATGATTAGAATTGACATTGTTGATTTGTAGTTCTGATTCATTTTTCCATTGATCATCATCTAATGAATAATTATGATACCACGTTGTGGAATCCGTACTATTATTATCGGAAAAGGGTGATACAGGAGGAACTAAAACAACGGGTCCATCTTCTCGATCGACGACAACCCAATTATTTTTTTCTAATATTTCTCTTAAGTCAACCAATAATATTTGAAAATCTCTCATGACGTTTAATAAATTTTTAAGTGGAATTTCTTCTGTATCTTCTTGATCGAAAGAAAATTTTCGTATATAATAAACCGCATCGTTGTAAATTCTATCTCCTTTTGAGCGATTGTCATCTTTAATTGGATATACGTATTCGGCTATAGTTTTGAAAAGGCCTTCCACACCTGGTACTTTATCAGTATCTAAATCAAAAGTTTTATGAAACACTGCCATTTGAGTAGAGGCACCAAATTCCTCAGTTCCCGCCGGTCCATAGCATATCCCATGAAACGTTACAGTATATTCGGGAAATCTGGATATAATATTATTTGCCCTAAATACAAAGAAATATTTTTTAAATGTGCAGGGGTTTAAGAACGAATGTTTTTACATCGATTAACCAAACAAAATAGAAAATTTACCAATCTTGAAATTGTTGGCGACTCCATTCGAATTTATGATCTGGATGTCTGTATTTAATCATTTTTGGATAAAGTACATTAAAATCCGCATTTGGAGTTGTTATAATGACCACTTGTGGCTTTATAAAATGAAATATATTATAAGGTAATTCGATCAAGGGTTCTGGATAAAGATGTTCGATTCTATAAGAAATAAATACATTAACTGCTTTGACGATTACAATAAAATACAGTATTGCGACGCAATATAATTTGACATCGATAAAAAGCATACAGTTCCATACAGATAACAGCATCGCTATTTTCTAAATGTTTATCAGCCTCTGTGACACTACCCTGCAATATACGTACAATAAAACTATTTGTCTTTGCATGCATATAGTCGGTGGTTACAGGCTGTGCCTTCTCTTTGCAAGCTTCTAAGATCGACTTATCAATATCGACAAATAGCAACTCTTCAACCCCGGTCAAATTCTTCAGATAATAAAACAATTCAAGCTCCGAGCATCCAAAATCAACGATCTGCAATAAATGATAAACAGGAGAAAGTAGAATTATCGATAATTGACGCAGACTTGGAAGGCTCGAGCTACGAACGAGGTACGGCAAATGAAGGCACAAGTTTTGCAATACCTTTTTGATTTTACCGCTGCATATTAATTCGGTCAAGATGTGCTCAACCGCCATATAACGTTGCTTATAGGCCGGCGGTGAAAACTTAACGGTCGCTTTTAATTCCTCGCACGAACTGTCGTTCGAGTAACGACGCTTCAATCCGCTCAAGTCGTTACATATTGTTTCGCTCATCTGCTCTACGTATACTTGGGTGCTATCGCTGCCATTCGCTAATTCAGCTTTTTCAGATTTATCAGAAGCGTCATCCTCGGCTTTGCTTTTGAGAAGGTCAAAAACCAACCTCTCGAGAAAGTAGAAAACATGAAAAAATAAAACGATCATCGTTCGACTCGGGCGATCAAAACGTAATTGTTTATTAATCGCCACTCTCCCCCCCCTCCTTAAGCCGTGAATTTACGTATCGATGATACTTGCTAAAAATAAAATGCTAACTCGCTAATAAAAACACGCAGCTTCTTTCGTGTTGCCTGCCGGTTACGAGAAGCTATAGGAACGACGAATGTTCGTTACGTCACAAAATTCGGTTGTGACATGCGCAAATGCGCAATTCCATCCCACGTTACTTTAATAAACCTCGTGCACCTGCGCAGAATCGTTTGTTTAATCGCGCGCAATTTGTGGCCGTTAGCTTTTAAATATTACAAGAGTGATTTATCCAGCGTTCTAACGTGCATGCAATAATTACTTAATTTTCACGTTGTCTTGGCGTTTGCTTTGGCAGGGACACACACGGTGACCTCTAACCACCACGACGGCACAATTGCTTTTAACGACGCATTTGTTACTTAAAACATATTTGCATGGCATTATCGTATGTATTCCATGAGGTGTTTGAAAAAAAAAAAAAAAAAAAAAAAATTTCGTTCACAATACAATATATTTATATATATATATATATATATATATATATATATATATATATATATATATATATATATATATATATATATATATATATATATTGATACTTTAATTAATTTGCAATCTAAAGTATTGAAAATTATTTTTTTTCTTTTTTAATAATAATGGGGTATATTGTACGCGCGCGCGCGCGCGAATTGTAATTAATTAGCTCTTTAAATAAATATTAAAAAATTCCTTTTATTATTAATAAGACAAGATAGTAGCAGTAATTAAAAAAAAAAAATTAAATAAATAACAAAGTAAGGTGAATTTAAATAAAAGACATCCAATGTTTAAATAAAGAAGAAACATCATAATACAATATGATTTGGAGATCGATTTATTTCTCATTTATAACAAATGTATTTTGTCATTTAAAAATCACTTGGAATAAATATTTATCATCATCTAACGTTCATATATCGCGAGTGCTTGATTAACTTTCCTCAAATACTATCTTCGTAAAGTTATTTTTCTTAATTGCATTAACGTGTGCGTATACTAATTACATACAAACAATAGCCAATATTTGTAAAAGTCCAGTGTATATGTAAGAGTTAACGACGATATAATTAAATCATTTTAAATAGAATTTTATTATTAAAACTTAACACGAAGTGAACACATTAGCTAATAACTACATAACGACGCCGTGACAACATATAAAATTGTATAATTGTATAACATTGTAGTTGAAATTGATCGTAGTTATATGGCACAACATGCATGCACAGCGCAACGTAATATTAAAAAAAGAAAAGAGAAAGAGAAAATAAAAAGTAACGCCATCGTTAACAATAGACGCTACTATTTTCATTACGATATCATTTTACATTTTATAATTCATTTTACTTTCTATTACATACACTCTACTCAGCGTACCATGATGATCTCAGCTGTACTATTAAATGAAATTTCAGTTTCTTTTTATGAGTACCGTCGTCACTCAGCAATTCTCATTTTATTATTTTGCTTTTCAGGCTTATCGAAACGTTTATGTCCATTTTACATGCGTTTAAAGAGTACTTATGACTTAAGGTTGCCCAGATGGCAATTAGCCAAATATATTAAACTACGATCACAGTGTAATTTATTTGAGATGATTTTAGAAAGGTACGATGATTGAGACTAACATTACAATTAACACTTCCTTCATTCAATTAAAAATATTAAATGCGTGAAAATGAAGAAGATTATTAGTTGTATGTTGATAACGGTGATAAAGTCTCGAGTTGTATCGTTAATTCGCTCGCACACATGTGTACAGTACACAGCATACGGACAACGAAAAAATTCCCAGTCATGCGAAATTGCCATTACATAATTTCCATCTTCTTCGCCGATTCACGGCTTATCTTTCTTTCACCAGATATCGTAACAAAACGTCATTTCCGACAATTGTTTTAAAGCACACACTAAGCTCACTCGCGTTTAGTCTATTTTCTCCCAGCATTATTACGCCTCATTTCTGGAATCAGAAAAATATCAAAGAACGTTGCAGTACGTTAAAAGAAATTAATTTGTGCACCAGTGAAACAGTGAATTCGAACGAGCACTCACGGAGTCATTCGTCAGTTTTCGAACGGTTGGATTATATTCCTTTACTCTTAATCCTTTTCTACACTTAGACACTTTTGATTAATCCTTAATAATGATTAATGAAGGCAAATATATGAGCAACGATACTCTCACAATGCTCGATTATAAATATTTGTAAAAATACAATTGAATCGTGCCCATATTTTATAGGAAATAGTGACAATTATATATATATATATATATATATATATATATATATATATATCTGGTAGAATTTTGAATGTATTCATCATTCCGTGTTCAAAAAATTTTCTCCATAAATATATGTTCAAAACATATGTTTTGTTCAATTATATTGCAAATTGACATACATGACTTGTTATCTTTATCTTAGCCGTTGTTTTGTTTTATAAAAAAAATGATAAAACAAAAACAAAAAAATTATTATTTCCAAATTTGCTTGAGAAACCATCGTTTTAATGCTCAAACACAATTTAAAAGAAAAAATTTCTTTATTTATTTACGAAGAATTTTAAAGAAGGGATACGATGATTTTAGCGAATTAATTATTGCAAATGTAAAACTATAAAATATAATCGACATTATACCTCATTAAGACTCCCAAATTTTCTTGACCGAATGGCTCCGTATGGCACTAGCCTTTAAATCTCGTTAGAAAGAAGAAAGAAAGTGACATTCTTTCACCAATAATAAATTTCAAGCAAATCATCTAAAGTATTTTATCGTAAGATTAACTTATAATTATCATTTTAGAGGGAACTTATTTGCATACTATTTCAAATAATTTGGGAGCAGACTTCATGAGGCTTACACGAGCTTACATGTAAAACATGGAGGCATTGTCTAACGAGATTTAATTGCAATTACGACGAATATCGTGTTTGCATTCTTATAAATGGCAATGTATTATGAACTTTATGAATTTTCATATTGAAAATCACACTTGTGTATGCACGCATGCACCTACGCGCACACATGTATGTGTGTGTATATATATATATATATGTATATATATATATATATATATATATATATACACACACACACATAGGGCCAGGCAAACAGACAATCAGATAGAGAGTGATAAACTAATTTGAAAATAAGTGTATTTATTTGAAGTGAAAAAGAAAATTTATCCGCTATGTAAAATAAGAGCTTTGAATATTGTGCATAAAGTCAAATTAAAGGGTTCAATAATTTAATTTACAATAATATTAATCTTTTATGTACTTTCTATATTTTTTTAAATAAAGTTTTATTCGAAATTATATGAAAAATACTATACTTACTACAGCCAAGTGTATTGTTATTGTTATTATTATTATTGTTATTATTATTGTTATTATTATTATTATTATTATTATTATTATTATTATTATTATTATTATTATTATTATTATTACAATATATATGATTTGAATGTACTTGCCGAATTAGAATAATAAATGTTGATTTTTAGATATTTCAGAAATTCCGAAGAATAGGGCAAATTAATTAGAATGCAAATTAATTTTTAACGAAGATATAAAGGGATGATTATATAACAAACACCTATACTACAATGTCTCATTTTTCATAAATTTTTACATTACATTAATAATAACAGCACTCTATATAATAAATTGTTAAAATAATTTAATAAACATTTGCATTAACATTGATATATTGTTTATTTCTGTATTTAAAAAAATTTCAAATATTTATTTATTTATTTATTCAATGTTTGGATAACCCAAGTAACTATTAAAAGCGTAATAATAATAATAATTGGGCCGAGTTGATATTGTATTTGTAAATTAAATGTTTAACAAGCATGACTAGCGTGAAAGAGCATTTATACATTAAAATATCATAGGGGTCGTGTATATTTAAAAAAATTAATTGAAAATTTGTCACTAAAAGTACGTAATAATGCAACTTTACAGCTTACTTTACTCTCTTACATTTAAAAGAGCACTCGCACTGTGTTAGTTTTTTGTTTTATTTTATTATTCGTTTATGTATTTATTTACTTATTTATTCATTTTTTTATTATATTTTTCTTTTTTAATACTTGGATGAATAATGTTGATTTAACGTTCGAAAATACAACGTTCATTCGACAGCAAAATATCCGATCTTTTAATTTCCAATTTCAATGTCTACAAATCGCTTACGCGGCAGCATTGAGTTATTATGCAAATGGACCGAGAGAACTCTTAGATGCGATTTCAGGCCAACTTTTACGAGCCGACGAGAGTAAAAATCTATTTAATTATTAGGCGCGTCTTGCGAGTCGCGGTTTGGGCGACATACGTCATGTAATTTTACTTTATCATGTCCGATATGATAAACATCAGGATGCACGAATGTCGAAAAATCGTTTATCGTTCCTCGAAGATGAGTGCGAAGCGAGGGAGAGGAGGAAGTGAGAATGTGGAGAAGCGCGTAGAAAAAGTGCGATGTGCACTGCTATGTGCGGGGGGGGGGGGGGGGGGTGGGGGGGGGGGGTGGAGCGTCAGCGTAATGTAGGGTGAGTGGGGTGCTTGTCCGAGTGTGATTTTGTGAACGGCTGAGACGTAGAAATGTCAGATAACCCAGGTATATCGGCGTCTCCTCCACCTTCATTACACGTATCAAGGAGTCCGCTTATTAACGCTAATGGACGATTATGTGCAGGGTCCCAAAAATCTTTGTACTAGAGAATTAACGGCCGCGTTGACGACCTCCGTATAGTGGCGTTAGGTCGAGGACGGGGATGGGAGTAAGGACGTCCGTTATTCACAGGTACGATTCTGAAAATTCAAAATCAGAGCCGGAAGCTCGTGACGATCTTGTGTAAACGGAAATACCCCCACCGATTGCGCTGTCGGAGGTGCCCTCGCCGGTGACGAAGTCCGCTACGATCAACGAGTCCTTGGGGAT